TTTTGGCTTAGCCTTTTTGGTTTTTAGCTTACCCATCAATTCCATCGTGAACGCGATGTTTTTATTTCGCAGCTGATTCCTCCCGGAGTGGACCTTCCCAGTAGTTCCGGGTTCAACTTCTACTACAGCCTGCTCAATTGTGATATTTGCACAGAGCCCTTCCACAACATCGTTCAGGTGGGTACCAGCTGTTTGCCATGGTCATGGCGTCGAGCGGCATTGTGACCTTCCTATAAGCCGTAAGGTAAGGCTACTGATTTCCCATAACCTTTTCCACCTTTGTTAATGCTAGAGCGAGTTGTGATTTTAGCTTAACTTTGTGTGTTTCTTCTTTATTCATAATTAAACCTATCCCGGTTCGGCGTTGACTTTGGTTTCTTGCGTGGCCACTGGCTACCTCTGCCGTCTCAATGGCCGTCGCCTTTCACAGGCTGGGTGGTAGGCGGACTTCGACATGGAGATCTAGTTGACGTCTGTAATGTCCGTTAAACTCCCATCACCAACAGAGTGGCGGTGGCCCAGTATTACTGACCTGCTAATGACCTCTGTTTCACGTTCAGCAGTCGTTCCTAGCGGAGCGGGTGGTGTCCCAGTAGTACTGAGCCGGCCAGTGTTGACCGGTTATGGCCTGTTGCTCTCTTGCAGCCGTCGTTTTTGGCGGAGCGGGCGGTGACACGAATCCGATGTCGGCTTCCGGTACTCCGTCAGTACTTGGAGCAGTTGGAATCCATCGACTTCCACCTCTGCTGTGGCGACCTCAGTCTCGGTGAGTGGCCATACTGATCCGGGCTGTTGTCGGTAATGCAGTGTGATAAAAAGACGGTTACCGAGCTAGTCAGTTTTATTATGTCTGATGTAAGCTCAAGTAAGCTGTGTAAGATGCACGTCTCTGGAAAAGGTATAGCAAACTGGGATGAAATCGCCTTGTGATGCATGCCGTTTTCATTCAGCCTCAAATTTGCTGCAAAAGTTAATTTTGGTTATCGGTCGCTAACGTCCACTCATCGTTAGAGCCACCGCGACTTGTCATTTCGACACTATCGTACCCTTCTCTCGTGACCGAACTGAACCCCCTGCGCCGTGTCTTATCATCCGCAGCCTGTACTGGATCCCGATACCACTCACGGTCTGTGGTTTAATGTGGCAGTATGTGCTCTCCGCAGGCAGTGCGGCCGTACCCATCAGCCCGTTCGCGTCCGACCTGGCCGCGCTACCGTCCAAGCCGCTAGTACACGAGGCGGCCCACCCTCTGGTCTCCTCTCTGAGTGGACGGGTCCCTCGTGACCCATCCGGCGCCCACGCCCCGGCCGTCGGTATCACGGTGGAGCTCACACACGCCCGTGTCAGTGGGGACGGTCAGAGCCAGCTGAGTGGGGGTGACGCCACGCCGCGCGAGGCACCGCCGGCTACTGCTGCTGCCGCCCCGCCGCCGCCGCCAGCGCCGCCTGTTGACAGTACCATAGAGCTGGATGACACGGCGGCGACCACAGATGGCGCGCGAGTGGAATCGACGCTCGCTCTGGATACGAGCGGCCTCAGCAGCGATGCTGGGTAAGTGTGTGGGAGGGGGGGAGGGGAGAGAGAGAGATGGTGGGGATACCACGGTGGGCAAGAAGTGGCTTGAGTTTTCAGCAGTCCGTCTTTGTGATGATGCACTTGCTGCTCATTGCTCGTTTGTGTCACTGACGGTCCTTTGCTGCACATGATTAAGGCTACTTATGTAAACCAGAGTGTAAGGCTGTAGGTGCTTGGCAACGTGGTCGTGTTCTTGAGCCCCGATTCGTTTTAATCGTATTTTGGTGGGAAGGTAATGCTTAAGCGGACTGCTAAGATGATGTAATCGTTTAAACGTTACCTAGATTGATTGTGGACAAACTTAAATTTACCAGCGCCATTAACAACGAGCGGACTTCCTGGCTTCATTTACATATAGAAAGGATCCCTCACTATGATTTCTCTTTGGTTCCTCTTAGGTCCCCATCAAGTTACGTAATGGTACCCAGTGGTCTTAATGTTTTCAGCACTGTATAATTGCCCAACTTTATCCATATGCTACTAATCCTTTCGTCGCTGATCAATATCGAGACCGTTTACTATCGTTTCTTATGTACCTTCGAATTGCTTCACCAGCACCCCATCCTTTCATGCCGTATACCATTAGCCCACCATCATCCGGCCCTGATGGCCCTGTCACCCCCCGCCGGGCTACCGTATTCCATTATCGACCCGCGCAAATCCCGGGGCTGCACCTGCCTGTCGGTCGGGGCCCAGTGAAGACTGTTCTACCGTTGCGACGGGTGATCGGTCCTGGGTACATGACTAGGATATGACGGGGTCGATTGGACTTTTGGATATGTAAACGTTCTGTCGTTAGAGGAGCTGGAAGTTTGCTGTGTTATAGCGCGCTACTTCATCGTTTCTGGTGAGAAATATGACAACCTTAACGGCTGTATCAGTTCTATTCAACTCAAATATTTAATATACATTCTCATCAGCACTTATTCCGGTACTAAACGGGAGTATCATGAGGTGGCTGTACCAGTGGGGCAGTCATTTATATCGCGTGTTGTACATCGTCCCAAGCCACTGTGGGACAACTGACCAACCAGTAACGACCAAGTCGTCATCCCCTCCTGCCGCTGGTCGGCAAAATAAGTACCTTCCCGCGGAGGCATTGATCGTTACACGCGGTGTATTCCGCCATCCACGTGGAGACGGCTACGTCTGTAGGCGTACCCCGCACTGATCGATCCTTGCGGGCGTGACCGCGGCTCCGGACACTGCACGTGCACATACGGCGGCCCGGCGACCGGGTGGGGATCGATCCTGGGAGGGCGGGGAGGGGGGGGGGGGGGGGCCCACCCAGCTGACCGCTGCTGCTGCCGCCGGCAGGTCCCCGGAGGTGGCCACTGTGCGTCGTGCGGCTCCTGTGGCTCCTGCGGCTCCTATGGTTCCTGCTGCTGCTGCTGCTGCTCCTCCGTCTGCTGCTCCGTCTGCCACGAATCCTGCTCCTGTCACCGCAGCTCCCGCTACTCCTCGGTCTGCCGCCGAAGAGATGCCTGATCGGGCGGGTGCTGAAGACTCCCGGTCTCGCCACTACCGCTGTGTGCTGGATCTGCGGGAGCTGTGTCTTCAAGAGCCCAGCAGGGGTCGTGCCGTCCTCAGGTGAGGCGCAGGGGAAAGTTTCACGGTGATCGGTCATCAACTATCTCAGTAATATGCAGGTGATTGCCTATTATGTTTATGTGGTAGTTAAGTGAGTTCGAGCAGCACATATGGTACTTTTGTGCATTACTGGTCATCGTACGATGCACTTAACTCTTTTTTACATGAACCAATATATCATCCATTGTTTGTAAGTAAAACGAAGATCAACGATAGTGATATTCGTCACTGTATGCTAGATAGTGCGCCTTAAACCGATTACACCGTGCATATTGTAGAGCAAGTATGATGGTTATCACTCTGCCTCATAAATGTTTTATCGAATCATGGTGATGCTTTCACGATATGACGCGTGATTAGCGCGAAACGGTAAAGATTAACGCGAAGAAATGAACACTTGTCGTTTGATTGCCCTTAGCTGGGTCGTCTTGTCGTCCCTTATGCGGGTACTACTCGGTGGCAATTATGGAAGCCTTGCTCGAACCTAAATTTCTATTGACGTCATTCGGCAGCGACATTGTCCTGCAGTTGTAATGCAAATGACAAGACATGACTGGCTAACTGTCCGATACGGGCCTCGGTCATTTTGAACGCTTCAAATCATTCACTGACGCCTATTTCGTGGTGTAGTTTCATTTCCCCACATTCAATATTCGCTTATATTGTGCGCCGTGTTCTGCCGCTACTGACACATCCCCACACGACGTTTCTCAGGTTCACGTACCCGCACTTTGGGGACCAGTCGCAGCTGAGCTCGGGTGCCGTGCGACTGCCGTGTCGTCAGGCGGCCACCGTCCCTCGCGGCATCTTCGAGTTCAACTTTGCCGCCACGGCCGGCTGGCTGCGTGCCACCCTGCGCCGGTTCCCTGTGGTGGTGCGGGCCGAGATGGAAGGGGGACAGGTGCTGGGCACGGCACACGTGCCCCTGCATCCTGTCCTGCAGCAGAAACGTGTGTACACCACGGTACGTGCCCCTGGTGGGAGCCCGCTCGGGGTCGGAGCTCGGTGGATGAAAACATCCCTTGAACGCCTTCCTTAGAAAGTCACGTGTATATGGAAATGAGGTTGTTGCCTAAGGTTGATAATATGGCCAATGACGTATTCTCTCGTTATTTTCTTATCACCCGTGTCGCCCCCAAACCCCAAGCTTGTCATATATTCCAGACATGCTGTACCGCTTGTGATTTCACGCTCACGCTACACGATTCTGGTTAGGTTCTAATCCCGGGCTATTGTGAAATGACCACCGTGTTTGATGTTTGGAGCATTTCTCCCCTTTTCACCACTTTGTCCCTGTGCTGTTTGGGTCCCTCACTGTACCGCTAACCAACCCTCCCATCCGTCCATCGACAGTCATCACTGGGCGTTCGCGGCTTCCAGCAGAATCACTACAGCGTCACCGACGTACTGGACACGGCCGGCGCCGTGGTGGGCGAGCTCACAGTGGCCATGTCGCTGGACGACCTGGGTGAGGTGGCCGATCCCCCGCCTCCTCCGCCGACACAGCTGCCGAGGGCGACAGGGCCGACGGTGGCGCCGCCAGACGACCGCGACGAGAAACTCGAGCGGGACATGTATGCGGCGGCACGAGAGCTCGAGGAGTGGAAACAGGAACAGAAGCTGCTGTTCCAGAATCAGGTACGGAGCGGATGCGGCACCATGCTGATAATGAATTCGATGGTGTGCTCTTCTTTAACAGGCCGTAAAAATGGACGTTAAGAGGCATTTTGTCTTCTTCCCGTAGTTCGACAGCTTTATGCTTTATCCATTGTGTGTGCTCCTCCCTCTGCTGGTCCAACAAGCCTTAAAGGTGACCTAAAACAAAACACGGGGCGACATACATAAAAATGTATTGTATATCATCCAACTCTCAATGTTAATGTCTTTAAAATACTGTCAATAATTGTCCACGTCATTCACTGAAAGCCACTCTGCACATTTCGAACTACTTTGTCCCCCAACAGGCTAGGCTGCTCAACATTTTGCTAGGCTGCTCAACATTTTACCTACAGTTGTGCTGAAGCAGTATCACACCATTTCTGACTTGCTGACTGTAGATCAGTCATGTAGCTCCTCGCCCCAGGCTGCTGGTCCCAGCGACGCCTTTTCACATAGGCACCGTCGTGGTCGGGGGCTTGGTGGTCGTAGTGGGAGGCTCAGTAGTGGTAGGAGCCTCAGTAGTTGTCGGTGCCTGAGTCGTCGGAGCCTCAGTAGTCGTAGCTTCCGTCGTCATTGCCTCGGTCGTGGTCGGCTCTGGCAGCTCATCCATCTGACAGATGAACCTGGTGTAGCCCTCGACACAGTCCGTGGCTCGCCACTCTCCCGTCGAGCCGCGATTGATGAGACCACACAGCTCGCCCTCGGCGGCCGGCTGTCCCTCCTTCCAGTGGCTCCAGTCGAATGGCGTTCCGTCGGCCCAGTACCACGGCTGGTCGGTACCCGCCCGCCGCAGGCCCAGCCAGCCGTTATCATACTTCAGAACGTGCTCGGCGAGGAAGGAGTTGACGGTCAGAGAGTGCACAGAGACGGGTGTGGAGCCGGGGAACGCCCAGGCGCACACGCTGGCAATCGAACGCCACTCCAGGTGGAACGGAGAGCGCCAGTAGCATTTGCCCTCAAAGGCGTGCCACTCGCTGGATGGACAGACGGCGCTGGCAGCGGCTAGCGCCGCGCATAGAGCGGCAAGTGGGAGGAGCACCTTCATAATGCACGGTGTATGTCGAGAGGTTGGACTGGGTGGAAAGAAGGCCGGCTTTGTGGCTTATAAAGCGTGGTATCTGTGTAAATTAGGTGGTATGTCGTCTGGCCATGGTGCGTCGTGTGTGTGTGTCAGAGATATCGGGCTCGGTGCGTGCCGTTATCTATCGGTCCACGCGTGACGGTGGTTCTCGCGAGAAATGGCCATCTGTTCAAGTCACGTGATTAGAGCGTTTCGCACCCGGACATCGCCTAGAGACAGCCGATGGAAAAATTGGTTTCCGGTCACATGTATTGTTTACTGTAGCTCGTGAAACAAGGCAAACAAGCATCTTATATTATGTTACCTTAAAGATAATGTAAGCGTTGTCTCAGTCGCTTTGTTGACATCAACTTTTCATCAGCATTTTATTTTTTGTTCGTCTTATTCACTTTCATTTATATGCAACCTGAACAGAGTCTAAATTAATCAGGATTTTTCTGTAAGTTGATTCAATCCCACTCCGCCCATTCCATTGTTACTTTCCTTGACCTTCAATAATGACCGACCTTCAGGCCAAGTGCCCTGAAGGTCGGGTGCTATGACCCTCCATAAAATGGAGCAGTTAGCAGTCCAGACTGCCCAGTAATATGATTGATCGCTCTGGATGGCTTTGTTACAAAGGGTCACCGCGGTACTCGGCCATTCTGCACGGACTAATCGCGGTCAATGGGTAGGACACTGCTTGGTGTGTTATGTTTTGAGCGTCTTAGGATAGCTGCACATGGTGGACACTGGACACGGGTGTCTTCCTCTGCAGAGTATAACAAGTATAACAATACTCCATCGGACGATATGAAGATGCGTTTTCATTTTCTACTTTTTTTGTAGCTTCCACATTTCCGTATGCCAGTTACGCAAGTGACTTTGTTGTCTAGCGAGTAGGCTAGACAAATGTATACCATGTAAAATGGTATAGCATCTCCATGCTATACCTCTAGCAAATGCTCTAGGTATAGGTAGGTAGCAAATGCTCTAGGTAGGTCTAGGTAGCAAATGCTCTAGGCTCTAGGCCATCCTGCCAAATCCGTTTTTGGCTTTTGTTTGAGAATGATCGTCTTGAGTGGCCATTTAACATAAATACCCCAACTTCTTGGAGAATACCTCCTCGCCGGTCAATAACGCTTTCACTTCATCTGTGTCTCACAGCTCCAGCAGCGAGAGGCGTCTCACCTAGCCATTCTCACCGAAGAATGGAAGCGTCGGGACGCCGAGCGGGAGCTGCAACTTCAGAACCGACTCCGGGAGGCAGTGGCGCTGGAGGATAAGTTACGGGGAGGACTGACGGCGCTGGAGGAGCACCAACAGCGGCTGGAGCAGCGCGAGGAGGAGGTGAGAGCGGAGGACTGTATGTGTGAGAGAATATATAGAGTTGTGAGAGTTGCGAGAAAATGATGATTGTGAGACATCAGTATGTTGTGTGAGTTGGAAATCAGAACATGAGATGACGGTGTTTCTAGGTATCTAGATATCTAGAGGGGTCTCGAGAGTGAAAACAGTTAGAAGAGATAATGGTACAATGGGGACTGGGGAGGGAAAGGACGGGAGAATGCCATCAGGTGGTCAGGGCCAGAGGAAAGGATGATGAATGGGAGGGTAAAAGCTTCAAGTCTCTTGGAGTTGGGACTTGCTATATGGCTGACACAACATTGCCAAAATGTGTTCTGCACTAATTTAACGCCCTTTGTATTTTCCTGTGTGAGAGATTCGTGTATGGTTGCAAGCTAAGCCAGACATCTAGTTGCTGGATTGCTCTCGGTTTGATTTGATTAAAGTTCTCTATGAGACGCCCCGGATAATATTTGTGTTAATCTCGTCCGCCTTCGTCCGGTGAACTTTGTCTGAATGCCAAGAAACGTCTGTATGCTGAGATTACATTCGACAATGGGATTACGAATATGAGCGGCGGGACAGCGCAGTACAACCCACGCACGCCAGAGATGATTCAAACCAGGGCTGCGGAGTCGGAGTCGGAGTCGGAGTCGGTCGGAGTCGACAATTGTGACCGGAGTCGGAGTCGGAGTCGGAGTCGATTTTAGAAACCCGAGCCGGAGTCGGAGTCGGAGTCACCGAAAATCTGTCGACTCCGCAGCCTTGCTAGGTCTGCGGAGTCGGAGTCGGGAGTTGGAGTCGGTCGGAGTCGACAATTCTGCCCGGAGTCGGAGTCGGAGTCGGAGCTGGTTTTTGAAAGCCGGAGTCGGAGTCGGAGTCGGAGTCGCCGAAAATCTATCGACTCCGCAGCCCTGATTCAAACGTGCTCAACGTGAGCTCTAGAACGACGCAGCCGTTTCCGGCTGGGTGACGCAATTCTAGGATATCTGCATCTTCGCGTCGTAATCCCGCGCATTCAATTAATTAAGACTCTAACTTTATTCTCAAGAAATCTCCATATGTGTTTTGTTAAACTTTTACAGTGTTAATTATCCAAGTTCCCGAGTTTTTAACTCAACTGCGTGTTTTTATACCGCTTCCACTCATTATGTCCTGGTAGGCATTGTAAAGCTAGATTAATCTAACGTTCTCTGATGTGGTGGTCGTCGCTCTGCTGAGTCTCGGTAGACGAGATTTCTACAGGAGACGAGATTTGTCCAACTTGTGTCATCAAACTTATGTCATACAGCATACTCTGATGTGAAATTTTGCCTTTCCATCCTCGACTTGTAGAATGAATCTTCCCCTTTATTTACCTTAATACCGCCTATCCCTTAGTTTGCGGCTGGTATTTTGAGGAACAAGCCTGCTGATGTTGACGATCTTGGTTGTTTCTTTTTATATTATTTATCACCTACCTGTTCGCTCCTTCACCTGCTATAATAGGCTACATGGAACGCACAACTCATATGGCAGCTTAATAGGATCGAGATCAATACGAGACTCTTAGTATAGTCCAGCCGGTAGATCGTAGATCAATATTACATACTTTGCGCATCCTTGGCCCACATGTGGCTGACACTTCAATCACAGACGCAGACCTTTCGTTTAGGTCGATACATTGGACATTGAACGACTGCTCGAGTACGCAACGATGGTGGCACTCGGTGTCGGCTGAGTCATGCTGAGTGATAGGGCGGCCGTAAACTTGAGGTCGGAAATGGAACGTTATTGAACGGCGCGGTGGCGGGCAAGTGATTGGAACTGTGAGTAGTGCGTCGTTAAAACGCATGAACTCGTGCTAGCACCGAAGGAATACGTGTTGCACATATATTCGATCCACGCTTCATTCCTATTCGTGACGTGTCATCAATTTATAATAAAACTAAAAAAAAAGAAATCGCGAGATTTCTTCCGAGTACCCAACGGTTTGAAGAGTCGTAGCGATACCGGAGATGACTACGGCACATGTGACAGGGCTGCTTTGAAACGCTCTGGCCTGAAGCGGCCTGAAGCGCCCGCAAACAGCCCTACCTTTCACCGCACTCACAGCATCGACACGAAACTGCGTGGTTGAGGTCGGTTTCTCCTGAAGAGCAGTGATATCAGCGACCGCAGTGAATGCACAAACGGTCGTCTCGAGGGCGGCACGGATCCCTGACTATCGCCCGTTTCAGTTGCAGAGTCTTGTGTTGAGGCATTCGCCGACGTCGAGCTAGTCACTGACACTTGGGGAGTCACGAGTGCTGTAGAAGACGACGGGTTGGTGTCTTCCTTCGCTCCCGGTGATGGTGTTTCCACTTGCGGTGCTATCAGAGGCAGTGGTAGTGGCAGTCCAGGCGCCGGTGTAAACCCGAGCTGCGCCTTCCGTCGTCCGCCAATCCACGGGTTGCCAGTGTAACGGCTGGTGTAGTACCTCTCCTGGGTGTTGTGCCGCTCTCGGGTGTAGTGCCGATTCTGTTTCTTGCTGTTATGGCTGGATGTTTGCTGTGAAGCAGGCCATACTTGCACCCGGTGCACGAGAGGCTGTCGAGACTCGTTGTGAACAGCGGCAGCGGTGGCTGTGCTAGCTCCGGGCCGGAGCTGTCCTCCAGATATTAACAGAACCACTAACAGAAACAACAATGGTAGCACAGAGACCGCCATCACTGCGGCTTCAGGAGTCCACTGAGCGTGTGTCCATCGCCCACCCCGTCCCGTCTAATCTGGAAGGAGAAAGGCACTGAATCGTAGGTGGTCGGAACGTGCCCTGGGCGTGTTATATCGTCGTGGTCAGTTGGGGTGGGGAGCGGTGCCACATTCTAAAGGATTGGGGTGGTGTTGAGACTGCTCGTGCCCTATCTGAGCTGTCGGTGCTGCCACTCTACTGTGTTTTAGGGTAGAGGATCGGTCGGCTGGGACGAGTGGATAGCTGCCAGGGTCGGTTTAGCGTAAGTTTGGGCCGGCAGTGGCGAGCCAGACATTCCTTGCATCGTGGTGACCTCCCAAGGGGCCATTCTTTCCATTGAGATGTCGGGTAATGTGTTTACCTGACGCTAAATTCGTTTCAATGACGTTTGTTTTGACATTACACATGTAAACGGCAAGACAGCTTAGGCAACAATTTGTTTGGCATTCCTCACAGTGCATTACGTGCTATTCCTGTATTTAATTTGTTACATCTCAGATACGTTTGCCAGCGGGTGCTTGGCAACTGGGGTCATCGTGCTCGTTTGAGATAACCTTTCCACGCCATTAAGTTCCGTTCTTGAGAATGTCAACCGGAAGCCAAATCTTCGTTTACCGTTGCTACAATAGCTGTCAGCTGAATGTTCTCATATCAATATAAGAACTGTCAACTGTGATGTTTGAATAAGTGCGGTTTCTCAGCTCTTTGTCTAGTGTGTGCGGTGAATTTCAGAGGCGGCACATGTTGGTACGCTCACACATCTGCAGTGATGGCTCGTTTGAGCCCGGCTGTTTTCTGCTAAGACCTGTTTGTTCGCCACTTCGTCACAGTTAGTGCCACTAGCTGGACTAATAACGACTTTGAACCCTGCAGACGGGTCGGCGGGGCTTATGGAAGCTCGAACGGCGGCAGCTGGGTGATGAGTTAT